TTGCAAACTGGTTTAATTCTCCTTTATCCTTATATTCAAGGGAATATATAATCTTCTTGCTACTCTTTTTGAAGGAGAAAAGTTAAGATTAAAGGGCCTTCTGCATTTCTTCTTTTTACTCAGGGAAATGAGATTCTGGCTAACCTATCCCCATCCTGTCGTCTGAAGCCAGGGATGATCTTACAAAGGAGAATGTATCACAGCTGTCACAGCTGCAGTCTAACCAAATGCCTTGATCCCACACAGCTGCCTCACTCTCCCTCCTGAGACTGAGAAGGAACCCAGGGATGTGTCAGTTTTCAGTCAGGTCAAGGAGACTGAAGCTTCCTTTGGCCTTCTTTGACGCCTTTCTTTCTCCTGCCCACGTTTAACTCTTTGAGTCAAGAGCCTTGGTTAACTGGATCACACTTGAGCATTATTCTTGCTTCATCTGAAGATCTGTGGTACTCCACCCTTACCCAATACTAACTTAGGTGACCCATTGAGAATGCTCTGTGCGTAGTGTCATACCGCATCTTGTAGGTGCTCTTTTGATGTATCTAAACTCCTAGTTAGGGTCACCCCACATCCCTACTGCCAGACATAAACCATGAAAGTAACTGAGCTTCCAGAATTTTTTCTGCCCCTCTACAAAATATCCTTACTTTATTCTTCTGGGTTGATTTCATGGGAAAAGTCTAACAGTTTATTTTGCTGATATATAAGATTTGCTTCTAGAAAACCAGTTTCCCCAGACAAGAGAAAAGCTGTGTCATAGTATGTCCCAAGTGGTGACTACTACCACAATTTACACCAGTTGAAGCAAAATGATAAAAAAGAGGAAAACTAACTTTATGAATTTTAGAGAGTTGTACTTTTTTTACCTGACTTTTTATTTAAAATTAAAATATCTTTTGCAATATGAGGTACATTTTAGGAACTAGTAGTTATTTACAATGCTATTACATGGCAAAACAAAACATTCCATCTCCTGGCATCATTTCTACAGTATGTGGATGCAATCACTTATGATTGTAAAATAACAGTGATTCATTGTTCTCCATTCCAAACCCATTTTCCCCCACAAAGAAATAGTGTTTGGAGAACACAGAATTGCTTAGTAATTATACAGTTTTCTAACTTTGGTCTATTTACATTTGAAGGCAATGTGGCCATAGTTAGGGCATAAGGGAAAGAAGACGCTATTTTGTCTCCAGCTAGATAAGTCATATACTTATTGGAGATTCTCAATTTTAAATAAAAATAAAAATATATATATCAGAAATATCTTCTTGTTATTAGACAACTATGTCTGAAATGGTAAACTGAATGTAACGGTTACTATAATAAAACATTTTTTAAATGTTTTCAAAATATAGAGGATATATTCCTATTTATCAAATGAGGAAATGAATTTTGAAAGTTTCAAAGTTACAGGTAATAAATGGTAAATCAGGGTTTGAGTTTGAGGTGTTAAAGGGCGTAACCCAAGTTCTTTCCATTATAAAATAACTTCGAAAGGTATTTTCAATTCTTTTGAAACTTGTTTATAAGAAATGTATCAATAACTATTACTTTAATTTGGATAAATAGTTAAAACACAATGCTTGTGCTTATTGTATCTGTCAGGGCTGATCTTCCTTTTAGCAATAAGATGAAAGTCAGTACCTAGTAATGCTATTTGGTAACTCTTGATCCAAAGATGAATGGCTGATCCAAAGAGCACACAAGTAAAGGGAACCGTCTTCCTTCAAGACGCAAAGAACATAAAACAGAGCATCCAGTCACAGAATCCATATGAGGACATTTTTAAAAGATCTGACAAATATGAATTGCATTGTGAGCTTATTATTTTAAGGTAACACACAGATTTCTGAATTTGCTATTCTTACATTTATTTTTATGCTGTTATTTTTTGTAAATACTACAATTAGGAGAACAGATAAAGAAAGAAGAAATGAGCCTTATAAAATTCTGGTTCAAATTACAAGCTAAATTGCAACAATTTTAGTTAAACCAGTTTGGCCAACACCTATGGAGAATTCATTATTTCCTAGGACAGGTTAAGATATGTTTGCTTTTTCAATCCATTATTCTCCAGAAAAATACAATGTAATACCGTTTTGCTAAGCTTGAACTAGGAACTAAACCAGTGTATCTTCCTGAAAGTCTCAAGTTTTCCTATGGAGTCATTACTCTCTTCTAGTTTCACAGTTTTTACTTAGCTTTGAAAGAACTGTTTAGAAATTTGATGTTTCACTTTGTCAAAAGTCTTAGTGGCAAAAATAGTAAAATATTTTAATAAAAAGTTTGTTTATATTAAACATTGTTTAGATAATATGGTAACAAGGATTGTGTCCTTTAACACTGTAGTTCCTCTCTGCTAATTAGAAGCTTTTGCTGGGATAATCCTTGAGAAAACATTAGTCTTTGATACAAATAAGCATTCACATTTTTTATTTCAAAGTGCACTGCATTTTTTTTTCTTTATTATAATAATGCAAGCTTCATGTTCAGATCACTAGATAACATAAAATTACAAATAAAATAAACTGCATTGCCTTTACTATAAATAAGTTTGTCCATTTCTCTTTCCTTGTTTTTTTTCTAATTTTCTTTCATCTTTTACTCCATATAATCATCATATAGAAAAAATACTTTGAGCCTCTACTATAAGTCAGGTACTCACACATATAACAGGATATCTAAGACTGATTGTGATTTTTCTGCAGATAAAGATATCAAGGTTCTGAACATCTTGCCCAAATCATAAAGTGAGCAGGTGTGTATTAGGTAGTAGTTGAAAATGTGAATAGAGTGTTTTCTTTAAACAGAAGTGGATTGCTCTTCTTTTTAAGCAATGTATTTTCTGTTTTAGAAACATCTGACCAAAATTTCTGACAGTGTATTTAAATATATATCTGTGATTTCATAAAGACTTGACAGTAACTTGGATGAGCCCATTGCTCACTGTTACTTAGTTATCTTGGTTAAATATGGGTTTCCAAAACAAATCATTATTACAACTTTAACTACTTCTTTTTTATATGAGTTGGTAAGCCTATGTGTAATAAAGGAATGATGTACACTCTGGGCTCTTAGAAATAAACAGAAAACATTCTCATCTAAAAACAATGTAAAACAAAACAATAACAACAACAAAACTATCATGAGACACCCAAGTCCATGAACTTGATATTTCTTTCCTAGCACTATACTCTTCTGTTTAGTTTTGATCAATAGGCTTAGGACTTTTTTATGAATAGACAATTGAAAAACTGTCCAGTGCTTTTATTAAAATCAGGCTTTATGGACCATATATCATGCAAAAAAACTAAAACTATATTTATGGAAAAATAAAACTTCAGTGAAGTGACTAGATAAATCTTCCTTCCTTAAAAATATCAACCCTTTATTGTTGATAGTATGTGGTGAGAGTAATCACGAATTCTTTTAATCTCGTTTAGAGGCAAAGTGACATTGAATTTGTATCATATTTCTTGGGAACTCAGACATTTTAGTAACTTCAGAAAAAGTTTAACACTAGTATATCCATCAAACAACCATTCCTTTGTTCAGATAATTTGAAGCCTATTGTTTTTCTGCCTAAACCAAATATTCAAGGAATCTCTAAACACTTATAAAGTTTTTGTTGAATTTGGTAGCAATCTAATCTTCCCTGTAACAAATATAGAATTCAAGAAAAGAATAATCGCCGCCAGTAGAATATTAGACTCACAAGAACAGGAACCATATCCATCTTTTTCATTCCTTTCTCCCCAGGGCCTAGAACAGATCTGACACTTTGTAGGCCCTCAATATATTTGTTGAATGAATGAATGAATCCATCAGAATAATCATTTTACAGCGTTTCTATACACTTCCGTGAGTTTCAAAAGGCTACGTTAATATATATCAGTATTATTTGTTTTTCAGTTGTTACTCAACATATTTTATGTTTTCCTGATTCCCTGTATGTAGCTTGTTTCAACTGTGGAAGTTAGTGGCAATTTTTTCCTGCAAACTCCTGCTAGAAAGCTGTTTTGAATAAATATAGGACTTCTAAAAAAATTGCCCTACTGTGCTATAGGGTTTCTTCCTCAAGGAACTGCACCATGGTAGAATCATTTTGTAAGGATTTATTTATTTTTCTTTTTTCTTTCCAATAAGAAAATACACTTAGAAAAGAAGAACATGAATCAGCTGTCACGTAAACTAAATCTGTTCTCTTTTGGTCCATCTGCTGGGACTTAAAACTTTCTGGAGATTTATCTTCTGAGTGTATTACTCTTGGAATTCCCAGGCTAAATTATTCTTGAAAGATGATAAATCAAACTGTATTTACAGTGTTAAGCTAAAGATATATGCTCTATGATTATACTGAATATTTATACCATACCTTAGTTATAAAGATTTACTCTGAAACTTTCTAAATAATATAAAGAGCTAGATTACAAAATAACAGCAGTAAAGGCAAAACTAAGACCCAGAGATTAAGGGAGTATTTTGATACTTGAAAGATTAATTTTTTGTTCTCAAAATTTACTTGCTTTGCTTCTGATAACTCTTCATATTTTACAACTTAGTAAGGTTCAAACTCTGTTATCTGGGCAAGCTAAGATTAGAGAGATTGCCCAGGTTTTTTTAATATCTAAGATTTCATGAAAACAAATCATCAAATTAAAATAAACCATCACTCTGGAATCACAGAAGACATTGATTTGTTCAAAATTTTATTTTATAGAAATGGAACCATGATGCTTAAAAAGATTAAAAATAAAAGTGACGTTTCCAAGATTGCAAAGTGATGGAGCCATGACTTTAAAAAGAAAGAAAAAAATCTCCTAATCTCAAAGCTACTTCCTTCTATCCTACTTTGCTTCCTTTACTTCTCATTAGGTGGCACTGTGTCTCATGTTTGGAATTGCTGAAACCCAAACTGAGAATGCTAAACTTTCAAGGAAGCCATTCCCAGGAATAAAACAAACAAGGTAGATAAAGAGAGCCTGCACCCCACTCACCCAAATCAGAACACTGAACCACTCGAAGATGGCATTGGCAGCGGAAGGGACACACTGGTCCCACAGGCTCTATGTCTTCCGGGCCTATCCCAGAAGCCTCATCTTCTAGCAGAAAGTCAAATAAGCCTCTCTGTTGAAACGGTCCAGCCCAGGAAACTTGAGCAAGCAAGAGGAAGATGATAGTTGCTTTCATGATTTATTTCATGTATTTTCACAACTAAGGAACCTAGGAAACAAACAAAAGCTTTAGAAGAGTACCATTGCCTAGTTTATAATACCTCCATATTAGAGAGAACATAGGTAAAAGTAAAAAATAATAAAATAATAATATTTTGCTTATTGTCAGGAAGCAGAGCATTGGAATCGTATTTAAAAGATGAAGAAGTATATTATAGACTAATTTGCATAGCTATTTGCTTATGAAGAAAATTTGAATATTATTTAAATCTACTTGTTTTGAATTCTGGATATGAATTAAGACAACATACTATATATTCACATTATTTGCAAAATTGTTATGGATAAATCATGTTGAAATTTTCAATGCTCACTCAACACAAGCCATGTCACAGTCAAATAAAGTTTTCTTTATATACATGATGGGTCTCTAATTCCTGCTTCAGAAATATCTCTGAAGCCAATCTCGTTCCTCTATCCTACTGCATTTATCTTGGTCTAGGCCCTTCTCTTCACTCCTGTAAGTATAGTAAGAGTTTCCAACTTGTCTGTGACTTGAATATTTCCACTGTTCCAGGCCATCTTCCACTCTGCTGCCTGTCATCTTCTAAAAATTAAATTTAGTTTTATTAATCTTCTACTGCAAGCCCTTTGTTGACTTCCCATGGCTTGTCAATAAGGTCCACATCCCCTGGGGTATGTGTAAGACCATTCATAACTTGGTACCAACTAATATTCTAGCCACCTTCCTCTCCATTTTCTCTCCACTCCTAGTCCCCAACTTAACCCTGACATTCAAAGCTAATTGCCATTTAAAATACCTACCTTGTGAGAATGTAGTAAAGATTAAATGAGATAAAGAGCTTCCCCTGTGTATTCCCTGGCTCATCCAGGCAGGATGCTGCTTTCTCCCTCTTCTGTGTTCTCAAAGCACGTTGCTCTTACCTCTTTTAAAGAACTTATCACATTATATTGTAATTTGTTTTGCATGCTTGGTCTGCCCCCCCAACCCCCACTAGAAGATGTACTCCTTCAGGGCGTGTCTTATTATTCTTTGTTTTGTACCCAGGGTTGCACAATATTTTGCACATAAATGACTCAATTGACCATCAATTTATTAACATAACTTATTCAATTTTTTTCTAAGAAATCAGTCAGTGTGATTTTTAAACACAAAATTATCTTTTTCTTCAACATCATAGTTCTAGCATAAAAAAGATACTGAAAATCTCAACTTGGTATAAGCAAGATTCACTTTTAAAAATAATTCTATTGGATACTTTCTCAAATTGATCATTTTTAATAAACCAAAAAACACATATGCAATACCCTAACTGATTCTTATATGACTTATATATTATTTAGTTTTATCTATAGAGTTATTTTGTAAACAAACAAAAAAGTACAGTTTTGACAAAGCCATACAATATTTATCCTTTCATTCAACAAGCACTTAAAGATATAAACATCTGTGTTGTTGAGTTGTTTCCTCTCTAGTGGATCTAGACAAAAACCCCATTCTTAAAACATATGCAGATATTATTATTTTTAGTCTCATCATCTCTACTTTGAATTGTACACCTATAAGAATCCAAATTAAAGCTGAGCATTCATAACTAGAATTAAAGAACTATTTAGAGTTATTATCCAACTATAGCATATGCAAAAAAACCAACCAAACAAACAAAAACTTTGAATACCCTAACCCTATGGTATCTTCTGGAAATTTTTGTCTAGATCCACTAGAGAGGAAACAAATATTTTTTCAGTTTCTTATATCTGTTCTTAGTTTATAGTTATTACTGAAGTATGTCGAAGGCAGCTCATACAATATGGGTCTGTGGCTTTTGATTTAAAATTACTATGAAGATTATTATTCACGCTGCTCCTTTAAGTTCAGTATCAGGTTTTCCCTGGGAACCCATTCCCACCCAGTTACTATATTGCTTTTTAACGGAGACCCTATTGTTTTGGCAGTGTTCCCTTGGATAGTATCTAAGGGAGGGGTTTTCTGTCTGTTTCATATTAAAATGCAAAGTTTATGGTTTACCACAAGTTTGCTAGCCTTGCATATTTAATGTCTCACAATTTTGGAAGAAAAATGAAGCAAAGTAATTGCAGATTTATTAAATAGCAACTAGAATTAATGCAGATGTCACTTCTTGATCTTTTTTCTAGAGCAGAAAGTGCCTGGTTGTTTCACTAATCCACAAAAGGAAATGTTGAGCATTAGCTCAAAAGACTATCATTTATATTTGTTTACTCTTATTAAAATAGTGCAAATTCTCTACACAAAATTATTTTTAGTTGAAGCTGAATGCAAACAGGCAGCTTAGAGCTGCTATTGCTTCTCTCTCTTTTTCTTTCTCTCTCTCTCTCCCTCTCTTTTTGTGTGTGTGTGTGTGTGTGTGTGTGTGTGTGTGTGTGTGTGTGTGCGCATTTTAACCCTGAATGTCCCAGGGAATAATAATAACATGTTTAGGAACTTTATAGAAATCCATCCTTAAAATAACTTCTTTTAAATTAGTGTCATGATACCTGAAAACTCAGCATCTTAAAACAATGAATGTGGTCAGTAAATACTGATTTCTTTAGTAATTTCCTTCTCTTCTTAACAAATCAGAAAAATAACAAAAAACAGCAGTTGCCCATGTAGAAACTAGGGATACTATTATTGAGATGACTGACTTTTTAAATTTCATTAAACTATATTGTGTTCTCAAAATAGATGACTCTTTCCTAAATGCAAATTGCTAAGAATGTCACTACTTCACTAAAGCTCGATGCCATAGTTTATAAGTTTTTCATCAAAAATAACAATCTCTGGTTTCTTAAACTACTTCAGCCCATTAAATTCACTATATCATTCAGATCAACATTCTTACGATGTCATTTATGCCTTAGAGTGACTTTCAAAGTCAAAATTTAACCCTCAGGAGATAAGTGAAGTTATAAATGCAGAGTAACGTTAAAATCCCCTAACACTAGGTGAATTAAAAACCTCAATAATAATATAAATGATTTAAAAATAAACAATAAAACCACATTTATCCATAAATAAGGGCAGCTATAGGAGGCATTTGGTTCTTTTTCTGGTCAAAACAGCAATTGCAAGAAAAAACCACAGGTATTTTCATTACCAGGAGGCCACTTAACTAGTGGTCATCATGTTACCCTGTTTTGAAATTAGAAAGAAAAATAACCTACACCTCATTTCACAGTGAATGTATCTTATAATAAAACTTCATTTGCATTGAAAATACTAACAGGGGCTCTTTACATAATAATCTGTAGCTGTCAGGTTATTTTAGTTAGGTCTTTAATAATCATCATAAATGTTTTCAATCCTTATTTTCATCTATCTTGTGACAATTTCTATTCTTTTCTGGATTGCAGAAATGTACATTAGACTTTTACAACCAGTGACCAGAGTTCACATCTCTGAGGTTTTAAAACTTCTTAAAATATCAAGAATTCAGGAGGGAAATAAATCCTTAAATATATAACACAAGTGCAAACACTATTCTAGTCTAGAATACTTTTCTATAAATACTTTCTAAAAAGCTAAACATTTCATTAGTACAAATACAAAATATATCAATACAGACAGTCAAGTTGTTTGGTTATAGGTTTTTAATACCTTTTTTTTATAAGAACAGAGAGAAAGAACTAAAACAATGCGTTTAACTATTATACCAAATATTTAACTTCTGTTTCCAACCAATAATTTTTCAAATGCTGTGTTAAGATTATTAAAAGTTTAGCACAATTATTTTTTTTCTTTTTCTCACCAAATAATGTCTATTTCTCTCAACTTGATCAAAGTTTTATTCGTCTGTAGCAGAGTTCAGGACAATTATTGAAAATCATACCTTTCAATCCGGGAATTTGCCACAGGAGCCCTCAAAGCTGAGATGTAATTACACTAAATATTCGGCCCAAGCAAAAGAGTTTGCAGGTGTGGAAAGGAGGAGGGGGGTAGGTGCTGCTCTGTGCCTGTCACTACGTTGAAAACCTCCTGCTTCTACTCCATAGCACAGTTAAAAAATAAGGTTTCCCTCAATGAACACTACCCGGCTGACACCCACATTAGATCATATGGTAATGATATGTCTCTTGTATTGTAGCCAGAAACTTTATCGGCCTCTTTTTCTCCCCATTTGCTTTATTCCTTCTACATCTGCTTAAGATTCTAAACTGCTTATGTAGTATAGTGGAGCAATTTGATTTGAAATTTGTTTTATTGTGTGGATTCATTTCCCTAAAATGGTGTAACTAAAGGCTTTGTTACCCCACCCCCAACCCTACTCCACTATCCTCCCTTTCTAGTCTTTTTTATAAGGAACATTTATTATACTTCTGAAAGGACAGTTTTTGTGCTTTCAGGATGTGTTAAGTTCGGCAAATGGAATGAAATGAATCTTGTAGTTATTTTCAATGTGGTCTGCGAAAATAAATGAGTAACCTTATGTGAAAATACTCATTTGGATTCTTACTTGCCTTGGGCTTTTTGTGCAAATTTAAGTACCACACTGTAGAGGTTTTCTATATATTTTGAATGTATTTCTAAAGTGTCTTGGATGAAAGCCATGATTTTATATTAAAAGCATGTCATTTATTACTTCTGTTACTCATAGTTTAAAATCTTTGTTGTTGTCTACCAGTTTTTTTTTTTTTAATAAAACATGCAGATATTAAAAGTTGGTCACAATTTAATTTAGCTTCTAAATGAAAACTTTGATTTTAATAGACTACTGTTTTATTTAATCCAGAACTTTGAAGAGGCCATAGAGTCTGTGGCTCTTTCCAAATTTCAGTAAATAAAAACAAGAAAGAGCAAGTACAAAGAAAGTTATTTATCTAGCTACTGGAAGGCTTTTGTCAGTTTTAGTAATTCCCTTGCTGGATGCTGTTAGATCTCTCTGTGTGTGTCTCTCTGTTTTGACTTATATCTTTATGCTCTGGCCCCCAGGCTGTTACCAGGTGGAAACTTGAAATCAACATCTGTGAAACATGAGAGATTACCCCTCCATCCTCCACCCTCCCTCCTTTCCTCCTCTAGATATCTAAGTGTACAATTCTACAGTAAATACTCATTTGCCTTGATGAAATTGAATGAATTAAATTCTTGAGTGAGTAACAAAAGAGGGGGAAGGGTATTATCAAATTATATTTCACTTTATTTCCCAAGCCCTAACTCCCTAATGTTCACATGTTACCCCACTCCTCTTTTCCTTAACACTTAATAACCAGAAATCCAGTAATTCTGATAGTTTAGAAAGACAAGTATAATTTTCTCTGGACATTGGTGCACATGATCCCCTTACTTGGATTAATTAATTTAATTTCTTTTTCTGATATCTTCTTGTATGGCATATATCTCTTTCTTAGGACATGTGGTCATGTCTTCATATTATAGTTATTTATGTACATTTCTTAAACTAAGGGAAGTACACATCATCTTCATCTTTGTGGAGTCTCTGCACCCAGCCCAATCATGGTATATAGTAAATTCTCAAAAAACACTTGAATAACTTCATAAAAACAGTGAGATCATTGGTTATGGATCACATAATGCCCTGGTTTGCTCCTCATCAAAACCCAACCCTACTAAAGCATATCTAACAAATAACAGTAATAATTGTTGAGAGAGAGAGAGAGAGAGAGAGAGAGAGAGACAATGAAAGAAGGAAGGAAGAAAGAAAAGAGAGGAATAAAGGTATTCAAAGTAAAAGTAGGACAGGAGGAGAAGACATGATATGTAGATCATCTTTTTTATATAGCAGAACAATTTTGGTTAAGGCTCACATCTGGGTCCTTTCCTCTGATAGTAAGCTGTGTGAACTCAGACAACTTACTTAACCCTTCTGAGTCTCAGTTTCCATATCTGTACAATAGATAAAAATAATTACCTAATTCATAATATTGGAGTGAAAATGAAATGAGGCAATACACATAAAGCATGCTAACTCAGAGCACAGCCCCGGTAAATTGAGCTCTTTTC